CCCAGTGCAGGATCCCAGTTCCATCCATCCCATGTTGCTCTCTTGCAGATTGGGGATATACAGATGAGGCCCACGGAGCAGATCTCGTAGCAGGGGAGGAGGATGAGGAGGACCATGAGCAGCACCCTGTCCACTCCACTTGGAACCCTCTGGCAGCCCAGGGTTCCCTCGGCTGGCTGGCAACGTTTTAATCAAGTACCAAGGATCATGTTTGAAGAATTATTTTTCTCTCCCTCTCTCTGAGCTGGTGCTGAGCCAGTTTGAAAAAAAAAAAAAGAACCACAAACTCGTAGTGGGTCTCTTTCTCCCCCACTCCTTTCTGAAACTGCCTAAGAGTAAAAATGTATTTGAAAATAATGCAGGGAACTGGTTTGTGGAAGATTGTTTGTCTCCAGGCTGGTTTGTTCTTCCTTTTGCTTTCTTTTCAAGGTTTGTTTGATCTTAGTTGCTGATGCTGTGTGTGGACCTAGGTGAGGTGGCACAAGATGTTTGCCAGCTTCAGTGTGCTTAGGGTCTGAGATTTTCAGTGGATGTCATACATGAATCCATCTAATATTTTATTTTCATCAGGTTGATTACTGATGGTGATGATGCACGTGGTATTTTATATTTCTTTTGTATTCCACTGCCCTAACCCCAGTGTACAAGCTCCCCCAGCCCTCTTTTCCCCTTCACATGAATCATGCCTGCCAAGTTTGAGGAAGTATAAATGTGTGTGCTTGATATTTCTCTTTTTTTCTAGGTAGGTAAATAGTTGGAGGAAAAGCACCTGTCCCTGTGCAGGTTAGGATGATAATCTAAGTGGCATAGTTACAGTAAGAGTGAGTTGTTTGGTATTTTTAATAAAAACTAAACGTGTGCTGTCTTGTGATCACCTCTATCCTTGGTATCATCCCCCAGCACTCTCGATGTTCTGTATGTGATATTTGCATGCATTGACACTTTTCTGGAAACGTGGATTGCTCTGGTGCTGTTGAAATGCTGGTGCTGAGGAGCTGGAAATGGTGGAAGTTTATTTCTATGTAGAGACACAAACTCTGAGAGAGAGAGAGAGAGAGGGAGAGGGAGAGGGAGAGTGGAACGAGCCATGCTGGAGGTGTCTGGAACCAGGAGAGATTTGTAGAGGATTTTTGGCTACAGAAAGCAGAAGATGAAAGGTCTGGCTGAGATCTCGTGTTGGTGCAGCCCCAGTGTTTGGCTCTGGGTTTACTCTGAGTTGAGGGAGAAGAGAATTGGCCTCAAAGCAGAGCTGGACTTGTCTTGAGACTCTGTGTGTGTGTGTGTCCAGCTCTTGGACACGTTGCCTTAAGATTGCAGAGCCTGTCCAGCTCCTGCTGGGCTCCAGGCAGCGTTTCAGGTCAGGGATGGTCACTTGGTCAGAGCAGAGGATGGAGAGCCTGGGAAATTGGGGTTGGATTGTTTGGCTGACACCAGGAGAGCCCTGGCAATTCATCTGTGTTGCCCCTCCACAAGGGAGACCAGAGCTGGGCCACCAAACACGAGTCCAGCTCCCTGTACAGCCTTGGGCAAGTCACTTTACCTCTCTGCCTCAGTTTCCCCTCTGGAAAATGGGGATAATAACACTCACCTACCTCACAGGGGTGTTGTGAGGACTCACAAGCTTTTGTAAAGCACTTTGACCACGACAGGCGCTGTGTAAGTGCTGAGTGTTGATATTGAAGTATTATTATGAATTAAACCTTGTGATACCTAGAATTCCTTGTGCCAAAGGTGAGCAGCTGTAGGAGGATACAAGCAGTAAACTGGCAAAATGTTCCTTTCATGATGGCAAAAACAAAAGGCAATTTGCCCTCTTTTTTTTCCTCTTTATTAACACATGATTTGTTCTGTCCATTCCTCACCTGTCACTGGTTTCTCCTGACAAGTGTACCTGGATTTGGCTTTTTAATTTATTGTGAGTGAAATCCCTGCCCCTTGGGAAGTTTTGCACTGCCAGGGATGCCAAGGTGGTGCCTTTGTGTGGATTCCCAGCAGGTGCCCTAGACAGTGTGTGCCATCTTTAGGAGAAGGTGGTTGAACTACTAAAGAGGCCAAAAAAAGAAAAAAAAATTGAGAAATTAGGAACTTCTGAGCAGGGATGTGGGCAGCAGTGGTGAAACATTGAATTGTGGCAGCAACTGTGTGCAAAGTTCAGCAGATGTTGAAATGTGTGGCTGAGGAGAGGCTTTACATCTCCCTGAGCTGTAAAAGGAGGATTTGCAGAGAATTGCTTAAGATGCAGAACCTTGACAAAGGGTTTGGCTGGATAGTTGCTCCCTGCAAATGCAGCCTGGCTGCCCTGCAGCCCTGGAAGTTGTTGGGTTTTTGTTTTTATTTTTACCCCCAAGAACATCTGTAATTCTCTAAAGGGACCTCGAGATGATGTGCAGTATATTTTTATTTGAAGTGTGGTTTTAGGGGATCATCTCTGCTGCCTGCTAACCTCCCCCACGAAGGAGGGCTCCTCTGTGGGTTCTGTGGCCTCGGGTGGCCTTGGTGGCACCTCCTGCCACCTTCTTGGGATGAGATGGGACACGACTCCGAGGCAGTGAGACCCCTCAAACGTGAGGATCAGTGAACTGTGTAATTTATCAGTAGGTTTCTAATTGTGAACTGTAAAATAAAGAATAAAAAGAGAGGCACACTGTGGTTCGTCTGTGGTGTGTTTTGTTAATTTTGTGTTCAAACTGAACAACCTTTTTGCTGTTCACAGACAAAAGTTTGGGGAGAGATCCAAACAGAATCCTTGTGTTTTGAGTCTTTATGAGGGAAAAACAGAATTTCTTTCTGGGGATGGACAGCATCCAGTTGTCTCGGGAATAACCTGTGGAGGTTTGTCCAGGGTCACTGGGGTTCCCCATTCCCAGTGCCTGGGGTCTGTCCGGGGTCACTGGGATGCTCTGTTCTCCATTCCTGGTTCCCGGGGTCACTGGGATGCTCCATTCCCGGGCTATTCCCGGTATCCAGGGTCACTGGGATTCCTCATTCCCGGTACCGGGGGTCACTGGGATGCTCTGTTCCCGGTATCACTGGGATGCTCCGTTCCTGGTTCCCGGGCTCACAGGGACTCCCCGTTCCCAGTACCCGGGATCACTGGGATTCCCTGTTCCCGGGGTCACCGGGGTTCCCCCGTTCCCGGTACCCCCGCCCGCCGCCAGGGGGCGCTGCCGCGCGGGGCGGGGCTCGCCGCTGCCACCGGAACCGGAGCGGGACCCGCGCGCCTGCCCGTGCGCGTGCCCGCGGCTCCGCGCGCGTCCCCGCCGCCATCCCCGCCGGGCCCTGTCCGTGCCCCGGTTTGCGCGGCTGCGGAGCGGGGCTGGGAATTGTTTTCCCCTCACGCCGTGCCCAGCCGGGGCTGTCCCGGCCATGGAGCGGGCGCTGCTGCCCCGCCTGTGCCGCCGGGCCGTGCGGTTGTACCGGGCAGGGCTCCGGTTCCGATCCAGCCGCGGGGCTGAGCAAGGAGAGCCCCGAGGCCGCGATCCCCCCGCATCCCTCCCGGGGTCTCGGACCGGGCAGGAGCTGTGGCGGGCACAGCAGGACTTAGCACGGGCTGGCAAGGGGAAACAGCGAAACGCGCCGTCCCTGGAGAGGACTAAAGGCTCGGAGATCCTGTTCGGGGTAGCCCCGGTGTGGCTGGCGCTGGCCCAGGCGCGCAGGGCCCTGTTCCGCCTCTTTCTGAAGGAGCAGCGCGGCGGCGGCGGCCCCGGGCGGCCCGTGAGGGCCGAGCTCGGCCTGCAGGCCGCGGCCCGCGGGGTGCCGGTGCTGCACGTCCCGGGCCGGGCTCTGGACGTGCTGTGCCGGGGCCGGCCCCACCAGGGAGTGTGTCTGGAAGCCTCCCCGCTGCCCTTCAGGAGCCTGCGGGACGCTGAGGAGCCGCAGCCGGGGCATGGAGAGAGCGGGAGGCGGCAGCGGCTGTGGCTGGTGCTGGAGCACATCCAGGATCCCATGAACCTGGGGGCTCTGCTGCGCGCCGCCTATTTCCTGGGGGTGGACAGAGTGGTGGCGACCCACAGCAACAGGTACGAGCCACACAGACAGGTACGAGCCACACAGACAGCTCCGGGCTCCTCCTGCCCCCCTTTTCCTCCCGGGTTTCCAGCCTGCATCACTCAGAAATCTCTCTTTGAAGAGATCTCTGGAGCTGATCTGTAGAGCAGGATTTGGGGTGCTGCTCCTCCAAGGCAGCCTTTGGGATGTGGGGTTCCAGGCTCTCCTTGGGCTCTCCTTGTTTTAACCCATTCTGTGTCTCAGTTGTCCCACCTGGGATCCGTTTCTTTGGTTAATTCCTGAGTCCTCCTCACATCCCTATAGCGAGTGGGATCTGGAGGAGAGTTGCAGAGGCAGAAGGAAATACAGAAACAAAAATTCACCTGGATTTCCTCTCGTGTGACACTTTTCCATTCTTTTTCCTCTTGCAGCTGCCCCTTGACTCCCATAGTGAGCAAAGCCAGTGCTGGAGCCATGGAGGTCTTTGATGTGTACAGCACAGATGACCTGCAGGGCTTTTTGAAGGTACAGTGAGCCACTTTTTTTTTTTTTTTCTTTTTTTTTCCAAGAAAACTCAAACACTGCAGGTATTACAGAGAGGGGAGGCACAAGGGGAGCCCTGAGTTATTTGCAGTGTCTGTGCTGGGGGTGCACACACCCCCAGCCCCATTCCATCGGGTAGGGAGAGAGGGTGGCTGGTTTTTTTCTGGAAGCTGGTGGTGCCAGGATAACTCCGGGGTTTGTCTCCCTTCTCCTCGGGATGTGTGGCACAGCAGCATCCCGGGGCCCAGGCACACGATGGCAGCATTGGGCAGCCTTTGGAGCAGGGAATAGACGAGGAACCAGGGCTGGGGGGGAGCTGCTGGGAATCTTTTTACATTTTCCCTATGCAGTGAGGTGTGAGGGGGAGCCCTTGGCAGGTAAAAATTTAAGGGATGCCAAAAAAAAATAACCACCCCAGTCAGCTTAACTAAAAATGTAAAAAACCCAGGAGTGTTTGCATACATGACATTTTTTATTTTTAAGCTTGAATATTTGGCAGTTCTTAATTTCTTTCTCTTTTCTAGGCTAAAAGTGCAGAAGGCTGGGAAGTGGTGGGAACAGTCAGCAGGTCTGAGAATGTGGAAGATGTTCCTGTCATCAGCTGCTCAGAATTCCACTGGGACAAACCCCTCATTGTAGTGATAGGTATTTATTTCCATGTCCAGGGCTGTGGGTGCAGCTGTGAGGGGGGATGCTTCACTCCAGGGATTGTTCCAGGTCTGGAAAAGAAAAGCTGAGAGGGAATCATGGAATGGTCTGGCTGTGGATGAAGCAGGGACTGAGAGGAACAGGGAGAGCTGGGGGGGTTCCCAGAAGGAGCAGTTTGTGGATGCACGGAGAGTTCAGCAGCTGGGGAGGGTCTAGTGGCAGTTCTGGTGTCAGGGCAGCCACAGTGTGGTGTTTGCACTGTGCTCTGTGTTTTGATCCTGTGCTGGAGCCCCAGATTTGGATTTTCTGTGAGCCCCAAGCTGTGCCACATTTTCCCTTAAAAACCAGCTCTGGGAAGAGCCATGAGGGGCTGTTGCTGGGGATGATCTGGATGCAAAACTGGGCTTTGTAGCCCCCCCTGAGAGCAGTCAGGGCACACCTGGGAGAGGGCAGGAGGTGCTGGCTGTGGAGCAGGAGCAGAGGAGTCTCCTCCCTGTTGGAGAAGTGGCTGCCACTTCCCTGAGCACCTGAGCTGGGCAATTCCTGCAGGGAATTCTGCCGTTCAGCTCACTCTCTCACCTTTTGTGGGCACAGTTTGGACTTGTGCAGCCTCCCAGAAGGTGAAGGGAAGGGGACTGGCAGCTTTGTGGCTGCTGGAGAAAGCAATTCTCCCAGGAATGCAGCTCCAGGCACCTGTGTGTGTCCCCAACTCCGTGTCACCTGGCACAGGAGCTGGCTGGAGCTTTTACACTTGGAAGTGGAGTCCTGCTGGCCAGGAGCCAGGGAGGGGCTGTAATCCTGCCCCGTGCTGGGGCTGCCTTGGCTCGGAGGACATTCCTTTAATTAAAATGTTTATTGAACTCCTGCAAACACTGACAAGACAACGTAGCAAATCTGGCATCTCTACAAGATGTGTGGAGCTGTATTCCAGGGGGAGCAGGGAGGCTGGCAGCTCTGCTGATTGCCCACAAAGAAATGCATCCCACAAACGGCGACAGCACCCGGGGAGAGGCAGGGGCTGGAAGCAGCAGCAGTGTCGTTACCTTGAGTTATGAGAGATTTCTCCAGGAAAAAGTCCAAATATCCTTTTGTCAGGGGAGATTGGAGGCTGATTGGTAGATGCATGAGGAGAGCTCCTGGACCTTGCAGCAGTAATGATTTCAACTCTCTGCTGAGCACTAACTCTTGGCTGAAAAGAAAATTGAACATTACGGTCGTCTGATGCTGGGGTTTGTTGGGAGAAACGTCCTGGATCTGAATATGGAGCATTCCTGCAGCTGCAGGGAGCAGCAGAGATAATTCAGCCTGGGATTGAGCTCCCTGGCACCACACAGATTGTCTTGTAAGTTAAGCATTTGCAGCCTCCAGTTCCCCCTCCTGGCATCCTCGCTGGCTTGGCACAGAGTGATTTGGACAGTCCAGCTTAATGTTGTCTGCACTGGAGTCATTGCTGGAGGCGACAGACAGCTCAGACTGGGAGCCTGGTGCACACAGGAACAGATTGGGAGCACTTAGATGGCTGAGTAAGAAGAGTTTCTGGGTAATTTGTTCTTCTTAGACCTTCAGTCTTTAGCTCGGGGTTTAAGGCTGTTCACACAGCTGGTGGTTTTATGGAGATGTTCATTTTGTGTATTTTTCTGCTGCTGGATCTGAATTTCCTGCACTGGAAACTGCAATTGTGAGTGGTGTTAATTGTAAATGGGGCAGGAAATGTGTTTTGTCATTTCACCAAGCTCTGGGCTTTGAGCTCTGTCAGTGAGGGACAAAGCTGAGAGGTGGAAGTTAAAGATCTGAAGTGGGAAGTGTTTTGTTCACCAGTCTAAACCAGGATTTAATCTGATTCAGTCAATACTCCCTCCCTTGTGTCACACCGTGCAAGTCTTTTTGCCCTGAATTTATTGCTCCTCATTATTTTAAGCAGCCAGGGCCATAAAAAGCTTTGTAAAAGCTGGAGGCAAAATCGGTGCCTTTATTGGGAATTGTAGGACCCTTTAGAGGGACAGGAGAGGATTTGTCCAGGAGCCATTGCTGCTGTCCCAGCTGGAGAGTCCCGTGGGAGTGTGCTTTGAGAGCCTCAGGAGGCAAATACCACTGTAGGTGTGAAACTTTTCCAGGATAATATTTCTGGGTTTTTTAAGCATCCCTGGAGTAGTGGTGAGGAGACAGGCAGGGCCATGAGGGCCTGGCTTCAATTCCTGGTGTCACCCTGTGACCTTGGAGAACTCCCCCAGGCCTCGTGTGCACTGCTGGCTTAAAGCAGGAGGGAAAAATTGGTCAGGATGGGGTTAGGGGCTTCTGAGGGCTCACTGACTCCAACCAAAGAGCTTTTGCCATGAACGAGTTCCTCTGGGAAAGTGATGAAGGATTCATTACCCAAAGCATCCTCTTCATTACCCAAAGTGCATCTTGGATCAGCCCAGGAAAACGTGAAGGGGAATGGTGACAGTTCCATCCCTGTGTGGTCAAAGGGATCAGTGCCATCCCAGACTGGTGTGGGGCTCAGGGCATGGCTGTTGGAGGGGAGCTTTGGCTACCACACGCTGGGCCTGTTTGCCAGAGGTGTTTGGGATGAGTTGGCTGCCTGTGCTGCCCTAAATAACAACGTGGAAGAATCCTTTGGGGAGCCAGGCAGGCTGGGAGGTCCCAGCCCTCTGCATTTTCACCTGTCTGCACACAGCATTGTTTAAAGCCTCTCCCTTTCCATTTCCCTTTGTGACAGCGTGAGTCAAACATCTACTAATGACCTGGGATAGATTTCAACTCTGTTTCACCAGTGTATCAGCCCAAACATATCAGGGCTGCTGGCTGGTTTAACAACTAATCAATTGAAGCCTCTGGTTAAACTGTCTGCATGCACAAGTTGCACCCAGCCCGTGGTGGGGTGTGTGTGTGTGTGTGTGTGTGTGCTGGCAAGGCTGGAGCTGTCACTGCCAATAGGGATGTGGGATTTGCTGGACCAGAGCTGGCCTGTGGCCCCTTGCCTGCCCTGTGCCCACGGGGAGCTCTGTGCTGGCTCACAGGGGATCTCAGATATTCCTCAGAACCTCTTCAGATGCTGGAGGACAGAGGCAGAGAGGGAAGGGAGGAAGGGAAGAAGGTGCCTGGCTCCCCTGTGGTGGCTCAGTGGGAGCTGGTGAGGTGGCTGAGCTTAGGGAGAAAGTGTCAGAGAGACAGAGCATGAACAAGAACTGCAGTGAGGAGGGGGAAAGGATGTGTGGCAGTGCTGTGAGCTGAGCTGAGCTGTGTCTGTGCCCTGCAGGGAGTGAAGGGGAAGGACTGTCCCTGGAGACTCAGCTGCAGTGCCAGAGGATGCTGGCCATCCCCCCCGGCAGGGCCCTGCACCCCGGCATCGACTCCCTCAACGTGTCTGTGGCTGCAGGTGAGAGCACTTCTGGCCACCACACCCCAACCTCTGCACTTAACAATCAAACATCCAGGCCCACCGAACGATTTTCTTGTGGTTTGGGGGAAAAAAAAAATTCCCTTTATATTTATTTATTTTTGCTTTCCTATAGGTATCCTCCTGCACTCCATCTGCAGCCAGAGACGGAGGCATGGAGATTGAAATCCTCTTTATTTGGTGGAGGAAGCTGCTCAGTGTGGGTATGGAAATGCACTTCCCAGGGTCTCCACCATCACTGTGTGTTCCAGAGAGATCCTCAGTGACCTGAGCTGCATTTTGGCTGCTGCAGAAGCCACCAGATCCCTGACTTAACACCAAAGGCAGACACCTGATGTCGTAGGTAACCCCTGGGAGGAGCTGACAGGTCTGGGAACAGCCAGTTCTGGCTGAAAACACTCAGAGATGGCTGCCAGCACTGTGCTTGTGCACAGGGGACTTTGTGCATCACTCAGACCGTGGGGACAACTTGGGCTGTGGGTCAGAGTGGCACTGGAAGTGCCCTGGGCGGCAGCTGGGAGTGCCAGCTGTGCTTGGGAACCACTGAAGCTGCTTTTCCTGTGTTTGGTTGTAAACCAGGTGTGCAGCCCTGCCAAGGGCTGGCAAACAGCTGGAGTGGGGGGGAACCCGTGGAAATAAAGCTTTTGTAAAGATTGTTTGTAGAGTCAAATCAATCCGTTTTGTGTCATAAATCCAGAGTGTGATTAGTCCTTCAGGTGGGAAGAGGGATCTAGAGCTCCCTTCCTTCTTTCCCAAGCTGGGCTGATCCTCCTGGAGGCTGAGGTGCCCCAGGACCTGCTGATGGCACTGGGGTGGCTTCATTTGCAACTATCCTGCCTGAGAAACCAGGCTGGCTAAATTACTGAGAGCCAAAAGAATGTTATCACTTAGCACCTTAATTATTTTATTTAGCTACCGTGGCCCTTTGCATAGGATTCCTCATTAACACTTAATTTACAGTGCCCTTTAGGGATAATTTCAAACAATTCCGTTCAGTCTGCCCCCTCCCCACTTCCAAAGGAAGAAGTAAATCACTCTGAGTGACTAATTAGGACTTTCCTTTGAGCTAAATGAAGTCTGTAAACCTTGGTGTGGGGGTGTTCTCTGCGTGTCCCTGGCAGGGTCTGGCTGCTGGTACTGGGGACACTCCTGGTGCTTGGGATGGGGGACAGGGCATGGAGCTCCTGAAAGGTGTCCAGGGCTCCCTTCTGTGGCTGTGATGGAGAGGAGGGTGGGGACACTTCCCCTGAGCTGTGACCTGAGGAAAAGGACAAATCCCAAATCCCTCTGAAACAGCACCATCATACAAACAGGGCTGTGGTACCCAAATCCACGGGGAGCTGAAGAACCCTGAGCTGGTGCCTTGTGAGCTGAGAGCTGGTGCATTTTGGGGGCTGAATTTGCCCTTTTTTCTGGTTTAAAGCTGAAAGGAAAAGGCTGCAGGCCCAGAGGCCTCCACCAGCCCTGTGCAGCTGCTCAGCAGCTGAGGGTGCCCCAGCAGAGGGTGCCCGTGGCTCAGATTTGCTCATTTTCCAGAGGAAAGATTCCAAGATTCAGCACTTGGCTAACTGAATCCTTCCTCTGGAGCAGCAGGGATCAGGGTAAAGCCATTTCTTCATTCTTGACCTACAGGTAAGTATATTTATTTCTCATCTCATAGGAGCTGCTGTTTCTCCCTTTTTATTTCTATTTTTTTTTTTTTTTTGTCTCAGCAGTGGGGAAGCACTTCCTGGCTTTGTGTGGCTGGGAAAGCCAGGCTCTGTCAGGCTGTGCTTGGCCATCTGCTCAGCCCCTCTAAGCAGGAGCAGCTGAGGAGCCCTGCAGCAGCTCCTTTACTTCTGGAAGGCTCCCAAAAACCTTTAGAACCTCCGTGTCCACCAGAATGGGAGGAGAAGCTCCTGCTTGGCCATCAGTCCAGCAGCCATCACCACTCTCCTGTGAATTCCCCAGCCCTCTATCCGTGGTGCTCCTTGATTTGGCACTGGAACATCAGACAAGGCTTTTTGGGAGTTGCTTGAGCTTGAATTTTAGGATTTGAGTGCGTAACTCAGGCTGCAGCTCAGACTTTGCTGCTTGTGAGGGCACTGAATCCCACTCTGCTGTTCCCACTGATCCCATTTCACTCTCTGGTAAGTTTTAGCTCCATTTTTTTTTTTTTCCACTGGGATCCACCTGCAGTGACTTTTGGAGGGAGCTGATGCTTTGTTCTCCTGCCCCAGCCCCATCCTGAGCTCTGAGGGGACCTCTGTACTTTCCTACCTTTGGAGCTGGAGCTTTGTGCTGTGCCATTTGCCCCTGATCTAATAAATGCAATCCATTAATTGGATCATTGCCTGCTTCTCCAGTTAATTTCCTGGATATTTTTAAATGTTAAAATGTAGTTTTTATAGTCTTTCATTATTTTTAGCCTTAAGCTTGACTATAATAGTCCCTATAATGTAACTGTAAAAAACTCCCAGCTTTATATCATAAAGGGGGACATTAATTGTCATTTTTTGTGTACATCAGCAAGATCAAAACACGTTTCCTGATTACTTCTGTTTGTACATAGAGTCTCTTTGATATTTAGATATGAATAAAGTGTGTGTGTATGTAATTTGAAAGTCAATTGTTCCCTCCCTGCTGCTTGTCATGGATTCCTTTCAGAGGCTTATTTACCAAATTGATTTTAAAATTTACTAATTGCCCTTCCAGAATGATTTCTCAATAATCAAAGTGTCTCTAAGCACAGTGGCAAAATATTTGTCCTCCTTGATTCAGAAGATGAGTTTGGCACTAGCACTGCCTTATCTTCAACCAGGGGAAAACACAAATCTCCCATCTCCAAAATCCACCCTGGGGAGCTCTGGCTGTGAGAGCAGCTCAGCTCCTGCCCCACATTTCCCTTTAGTGCTCAGGGTTATCATCATGACTGGAAAAATCCCACTGCACCCAATCCAAAGACTGAAAAAAATCCCATTGCACCCAATTCATTGCTGGGTCCCAGTGATATTTTGGAGGCTCAATGGCTCTGGGACAGGGGACACCTTTCCCTCTCCAAAGCCCAGGCTGGTGGCAGGGGAAGGGAGAGCCTGGGATTGCTGCTGGGAATAGAGCTGGGATTGCTACTGGAGCTGGGAATGGGATTGGGATTGATGCTGGAGTTGGGAATGGGATTGTTCCTGGGAATGGGAATGTCGCTGGGATTGTTGCTGGGAATGGGATTGTTGCTGGGAGTGGGAATGTTGCTGGGAGTGGGAATGTTTCTGGGAATGTTTCTGGGATTGTTGCTGTTGCTGGGAATGTTGCCGGGATTGTTGCCGGGATCGCTGCCCACGGGCACCTCCCGAAGGCGCAGCTCCGCTCCCGGTTTGTAAATGTAATCAACCTCGAGGTCTTGTTACTTCCACAGGTGCAATTAACATCACCATCTGCTAATCCGTGATTAACGATGTTTACAAATATGCTACAACACGCTAAAATGTGCTGGCACTCTTTGGTTGGTTTTTTTTTTTTTTTTCCCCTTTATTTCTTTTCCCTGCCTGCTCCAGCACAGGAGCTGTGCACGGGAGGGATTGCCCCATGGAATGCTCCCCCTGCCCCACCATTAATTCACAGACATTTTACATTTTCCTTATTTAAAAGTGCTGTTAAAACTCCAAACCAGCTGCAGGAATGACGAGTTCAAATCAGGAGGTCAGTGCTGCTAAATGGGATTTAATTGCACGGGGGTTGAGGTACAAACTGATGAATCTGAATAATAAAACTTTGTGGGGAGCAACATATGGTGCAGTTTAAAGTAAATTTTTATCGATCATCCCACAACTGATGTGTTAATGGGATGGCAGCCTTTGCTTTGGGTTTGATATCGACGTGGAGTTTTAATAATGTCACACAGGAATATTGTGGAGGGGTTTATAATTTAAAATAATAATAAAAAAAGAAGAGTGTTTTCTATTAACTGCCTTCTTCTTTTGCAGGAGAGAGGAATACATTACAAGGCTGCCTTGTGTCCTCCAGATCTAGGTTACATGTAATTGCTCAGTAATTGGTAGAACCATGTAAAAGCCATGGTATTTGCCAGTAAACCCTCCTAAGTTACCATGAAATTGAAGTGTGATATTTATTCCCTACAAAACTGGCTGCCCAAATGCTGTGTGGGATGTGGTGGTCAGTGCAGAGGAGTTCCTGCAGGAAGGAGGAGCCTTTAACCTCCTTGGGCTTCAGCCTCAGGATTATCCACAGAATCCTGGCATGGTTTGGGTTGGGAGGGGATCTCAAAGATCATCTCGTTCCACCCACTGCCACTATCCCAGGCTGCTCCAAGGACACTTCCAGGGATGGGGCAGCTTCTCTGGGCAGCCTGTGCCAGGCTCACCACCCTCACACGGGAGAATTTCTTCCCAAAATCCCATCGAAATGACAGCTATTAATAATCTAATATACAGAGATTAGAAATAATAATAATAATAATCTAATAACCCTCTCGTTATTACAGCTTTTTCAAGGCCCAACTCAACATGATGGAGGCTTGAAGTTTTCATGTTTTCAGTGGGCAGGGAGCAGTCATTACACTAATGATGTTTTTTAGAGCCTTTGGAGATTAAATATTTCTCAGTACACCCCGTGGGTCACCTGTATTTTACCTTCTTGTTGAGCAGGACATCCAAAACTGTTCCCAGCTTGGCAATTTCTGTGATTTAACCACGACTCTGATCTGGAGAGCTCCAGCCCTGGGGCCTCACTGCAGGAGCCTCCTCAGGAATTTTTCCCTCCCAGGTCAGTGATGGCTCCTTGGCACTTCTTTGAACAGAGCAGCAGTGATTTCCTCACCCATGATCAGCAGTTTTACACTTTTAAACTCTAACCCGTGTGCTGGGAATGGATGCAAAGTTAAACGTGCCAAGTTGTTTTTTTTAGCTGGCCTAAAAACCTCCTTTTGTTTTAGGAGCTCAGCAGTGATGTGCCCATCCCATCCTGCACATCTCCTGACTCCACCTCACATTTATGGCAGGGTTTGGGATGGTGGCCACAAAACCACCTTGGGGTGACCCCAGGGAGGTGGGGAAGTGGGGAATGGTTAAAGAAAAAGGGGGATACAGGAGTGGCTGGGTTCCCTGGCAGAATAAAAAGGTGTTGGTGCTGCCTCACAGCTTTGCCAGCCCTCATTAGCACCTCCCAGCCAAGCACAGCTCCCTCCAACTGCATCCCAAACCTTCTGCTGGAGATTGCATCTGTGCCTAATATGCATTTTTATATAAACAAGGGTACTAAATGGCCTTTCACTTCCCTCTGTAATGTCTTTTTTAATGGAAGGTCCTGAATTAAGAACATATATATATGACTCGAAGAATTTTCTAAGTGATATTGAAAACCTATTGTAGAGTAGGATTTCTCCTTGCAAAATTATTTTAATGAGGTTCCAGTTTATTTTCTGGCTATATTTTACTTATTTAATCCTCCAGAGGGGCTTTTCAGAAGCAGCATCTCATTTTCAATGCAACTATTCTTAACATTAGGGAAAACTACCTTTCTGAAATGCATGAAGGGAAAAAAAAACCCCGAACCAGGGGAAGATGTACGAGATAAGAATAAACTTGAAAAGCTTTGAGGTGGTTTATGGCTTCTCTGGAAAGAATAACAGTTCATGTATTTTTGTTATGGTGTGGTTTAATGATGCTTGCAGAAAAA